GCTGTCTGCTTCCCTCCGTTTGTTTTGAGCTTCTTCAGCGTTTTGTATTTGCAGCGTTTGGTTTCTGCAGCCTTTAGTAAACGCTGCGCATGTTTCCTCAAGTTGCTGACTGTTTTCTAAATGCTGCCTGTGCTGTTAAGTCGGTGATGCATGATTGGCAGATTTGTGTTTTTCAGATTTGGGCTTTTCTCCCATTGGAAATGTTTTGGGCCGTTGTCGGCCACCGTACACTAGCTCTAAGATGTGATCTCAAATATGTAACTGAAAAAGGTCTGTGATTGGATATTATCCCAAATGTATCTGCACACAGAGGGCGTAGATCAGGGGTCGGCAACAGGCGGACCGCGGTCCAGATCCGGACCCAGACGCCGACCTATACGGACCCGGATCTATAATCAATACATTAATAGGGGATTTCAATTTTGACGGGGCGATTCTATTTTAACCGCCGCCGACAGGGGGCGAAAGAGACGAGTGAGCGATACAGGGAGAGAAACACAGAAGAAGAGATGAGAGAGAGATACAGGGAGAGAAACACAGAAAAAGAGATGAGAGAGAGATACAGGGAGAGAAACACAGAAGAAGAGACGAGAGAGAGATACAGGGAGAGAAACACAGAAGAAGAGACGAGAGCGCGGCAGAGAGAAGCGGAGATGAAAGTGTGAAGAGAATAATTAGCGATACAGGGAGAGAAGACGGAGAGGAGAGTGAACAGGCGTGTTAGCGGCAGACAGGGAGAGGCACATAATGACACATGGCGCTCTCCAAGAAGAGGAAAGTGGACAGTGAGAACAGAGCTTTGAACCCTGAGTGGAATCGTTCATGTTCATCCTGCCCACTGGGAGCACAGAACCAGTGTGTCTCATTTGTTCAGAGACCGTGGCGCTCATTAAAAGTGCCAAAACGCCACTATGAGACAAAACACCAAGTGTTTGACCAAACATTCCCTCTCAAGTCAGAACTGAGGTCACAACAAATAAGCAGTCTCAGAGCATATGATCAGTCCACCAGGATCAACATTAAAACTAAATATGGTTCCAGCGCAGGCTAACCGAGGCTAACCAATGAGCACCTGCATGTGTGTATGAGAACGGCCCTGACACCATTTCAGCCCAGATTTAAACTCCTGGCAGGACAAGCTCCAGCTCAACTCTCACACTGAATTTAAAAAAGTGAGGGAAAGAAAGAGAAACTTTAAAACTGTTCAATTGCTATGATGTGTACAGACTGATATTGTTCTATAATCGGCTGAAACTGTTAAGTCATGATGTGAAACGGTTAACAAAGAAAAAGGGAAACTCAAGCTGCTGCTACACTTTATTTTATTTATCTAAAATTAAGCACTTTTAAGATGCACATATTTTTAAAAGCTATTTTATGTATTTTCTCTATTTATTTTTAAATGCAGCCAGAGAGGAACATTACACATAGCCACAGTATTTACTGTATATCTGTATAGTTCAATGATAATTGACAATACATATTGTTGTTTTTGAATTGTACTTTCTTTATTTGATTGGCAGTCAGTTGTTGATTACATGCAGATGTTGATAAAGCTACAGGTCACTTCAATATATATATCATACTAATTCATAAAGCAACTTAGACATTTTGATGTTCCGGACATTTTCTCTACCTGGACCTCGTTGAATTTTAGTTGAATACCCCTGGTGTAGATACTGGTCTCAATGTTATATCTTAGTATGTTATATAGCAGTGTTCCTGTTGCAGACCCATTGGGACCAGAGGGTTTAGGGTTAGTCACAAAGATTATGAGTCAGTGCACTGACAGAGAAAGAGTTCGGAAATCTCTGTGACACATTTTGATGGCTTAGTTCACCCAAGTAACAAAACATATTACAAGAAAAATATTGTCAGTTTCCTCCAGTGGTATCTATGCAGAAAGGTAGTTTTGTCAAAACCCAGAACAGAAAGGGTATTAACAACAACAACAACAACAACAACAACAAAAGGCAAGCTTTATTAGCAGCAGGATCAGACCATCGCCAGAGGAGGGTCGTGGATTAAGACAAGGCACAAGGACAGTGTTCTACATAAATAATAATATAACAGGAAATAGATAAACCAGGATTATTTCTAGAATATATCTGTGTCTGCCTTAGGTCCTCTGGGGCCAGTAGACAAATTATTCTTCTGTTTTTTACATCTGTGTTTCTGAGTGTTCTACAGTATTGCAATACTACATGGTACAAGTGTTTTCCACCGCTTTAAAGTAAAAATCTGCTCAAAGGTTGTAGGTCAACCCTGTGAGAAACTCTATGAATCAGCCTACCATAAATATCGGAGATACAGGGTCCAGCGATTGAATACAGTCAGACTGAAGCACTCCTTTGTGCACCAGTCAATCCTCAAATCAAACACAGAGTTAAATCCCAGATCTAATGTACCTTAGAGGGTCTTGTTATATCGTATTTTCCTAACCTCCATATTGAGTTATTCCTAACCAATGATATTATGGTGTTGTTTTATTCATGCTTTATGAACGTCGACAACAGTGAAAAATATGTTCTTCATTAGGTTGGAACTGAAATAATAAAGTAACGTGAAACGTATTGTTGTCACCCTTGTGTTGGTCCACACGTATTCACATGAATCCCAATCAGATGATTATATGAAAATATTAAAAAATATTAACATCTATCACTGTGTATATCACCATTCAAACATTTTTAAACAACTTTGATAAACCCCATACAGCTCAGTAAACACTGAGAAATGTTGACTTAAATTGATAATTTTACAGTTAAAAAGTAACGTTCATATTTCTCCTTTTGATTATTATGGTGATGGCCATTCAGAACAAAGAACTTTGGCAAGTTACGGCATAAGTTGTAAAATGCTGAATAAGCACCGTAACTTTCATAATACTAATTTCTCGGTCATAATCGGTTGTTTCTGTGAACGGCCGAATATTGTGTTTCGGTAAATGTTTCGGCAGCAAGGCATTGTGGGGCAGCATTTTCTCCTTTCCTTTCATGAAGGAAGGTCCAGTGTTTCCTAAGCTAAAGGAGGATATAAAGGAAGTTTGAAACCTCCTTTCCTATCATCTAGAGAATTCCAACAGCTCTTATCATGGCTGCCACCGAGGTACTTCCGGGTCATTTCACTCCGCTAGGAACCTAAGGTGAACTGACAATTCCAACGCAACCAACTGCCGGACTCCACCTGCAGGTGGATCACAGACTTCCTGTCTGACAGGAAGCAGCACTTGAGGCTGGGGAAACACCTCTCTGACCCCAGACCATCAGCACCGGTTCCCCTCAAGGCTGCGTTCTTTCCCCTCTGCTCTTCTCCCTGTACACCAACAGCTGCACCTCCAGTCACCAGTCTGTCAAGCTCCTGAAGTTCAGACGACACCACCCTCATCGGACTCATCTCTGGTGGGGACGAGTCTGCCTACAGATGGGAGATGGACCATCTGGTGACCTGGTGTGGGGAAAACCACCTGGAGCTCAACGCTCTCAAGACAGTGGAGATGGTTGTGGACTTTAGGAAGAACGCAGCCCCACCCGCCACCCCCCCCCCCCATCACTCTGTGTGACTCCCCAGTCACTGCTGTGGAGTCTTTCCGCTTCCTGTCAGCATCATCGCCCAGGACCTCAAATGGGAGCAGAACATCTGCTCCCTCACCAAAAAAGCCCAGTAGAGGATGTTCTTCCTGAGGCAGCTGAAGAGATTCAACCTGCCAAAGACGATGATGGTGAACTTCTACACCTCCATCATGGAGTCCATCCTCACCTCCTCCATCACCATCTGGTACGCCACAGCCAAGGATAAGGGCCGGCTGCAGCGTGTCATCCGCTCTGCAGAGAAGGTGATCGGCTGCAATCTGCCATCCCTCCACGACCTCCATGCCTCCAGGACCCTGAGGCGGGCAGGGAAGATAGTGGCCGACCCCTCCCACCCTGGACACAAACTGTTCACCCCCCTCCCCTCTGGCAGGAGGCTGCGCTCTATCAGGACCAATACCTCTCTCCACCTGAACAGTTTCGTCCCCTCCGCTAGCGGCCTCTTAAACAAGGCCCGGCCCCCCCACTGACACTGACTCGTTATCTAGCCCAGAAACACATCATGCATCACATTAAAGCACATCATGTGAACAACATCTTGTTGTTTTTAAAATTGTAAATCCTGCACATGTTGCACACTTCTTCTCCCCACTACCTCTTTTAAAACAGCACAGCTCTCCACTTTAAATACAACATAGTGTTTTTTATATGTAAATATTGTTAATTTGTTATAATAGTCTTATAGCTGTAATAAGTCCTATTTTTTATTTTATTTTGTTTTGCTAAGTATTCCTCTTTCTGTGTCTTTGTATGCACCACTTATACCAAAGCACATTTTTCGTATTTATAAACCTACTTGGTAATAAAACCCATTCTGATTCTGATGTAGCAAATGGAGCTACTGTGATCTGACTAATAAAGTATTATCGCATCTAATTGCATTTTGAATACTGCTCATCAAGATATCTTTGAATATCTTGATGAGATATTAAGAACTTTTCCATTGAGTCTGACTGACAGGATGTCTCTGTGTGTTTTTAAAAACAATTCCATAGCATCTGCGGCCCCCCTGCTCCCTCACTGTGGGATCAGGGAGGGGAGGCTTGTCCTGCTTCACTTGCCTTCATTAGGGAGGAGCAGTGACCGAGCCAGCAGCCAGCTGGGTGGGAGTCGCTCAGAGAGACGGAGGAATGCACCATCAGGGCTTCAAAGAGAGAGAGTGAGAGTGAGGGGGGGATTTATTTTTTAAGGACATTTATTTTAAAGAAGGGTTAGGGAACGTTGAAGGGTTCAACAGTTCAACTACTTAATTTTTTTCTATCAGTGTTTCTGAGGTTTTTTTCTTCAGTTATAAGTTTCTGTCATTACTCCCACCACTCGATTTTCATTGAAAAATATTGAACCTACGTAAGAGTATTTTTTCTTTTACTGTTGGGAATGGGAACAACCAAAACACATCCATCAAGATAATTCATTTTCTTTTGTTTTTATTTTTCTTTGAACACATTTCATGCCCGCTGACATTCATTCAGTTGAAGCGCCATTTCAAACTAAATGCACAAAATGACCATTAAACACAAAATCTTCCTCATATGCACACTTACTAATAAAGAGATTTACTTCAAAAGGAGATATTCACTTAAAAAAACAGGTTTCTATGAAGTGCACTGAATAACTGAAACGTTGACTTTAACTAAATGTGTTATGACAACAGATTTTCCAATACTGTATTAGGTTAGTTGAAAGCAATAATAATATGTTTCAAAAAATTAGGTTCAACTTAATCTTATTGCTTGGAACTAACCTAATACAGTTATGTTGTTAAATCTGTGTGTATCACTATCACTCATAATGTAAATCCTGGTTATTCCCTAAAGTAAATATATCCTGTTTTGGAAGAAAAAAAACATGGAATGTAGATGTGCTGTACATGGTACGGCTTTACTTAAAACAACTCCAGTGTGAAATCACTACCATGTCCTGCTGTTAAGTAACAACACCATATCACAGTAGGTCTGTACAATACCATAATGAATTAAACAATGTTTGAATATGTGTCCTGAGGTTCTTCCTTTCATTAACCTCTCTTTGAAATACAGTCCTCACAAAGGGTGCATCTGTGTTTGATGGATGCAGGAAACAGGAAGGCACATACTGTCGTTTCATGATGCACATGAAAGGACATTTAGTGATTTCTGACTTGTATTAAAGCCTGCATGTAGCCAGTTGTAACAACCTCAGAGAGAGAAGCAGCAGTATGGATCAGTTTAAATGTACCATAAATAAATATTTAGTATTTCCACTTGTGAACCATATCTAATTCCTGGATTTACAACAAAACAACAAGATATTAAACAGACAATAGATATCATGAATGGGGTCCACTCAGCTTTGAGGAACTTAGACCCGACCCAGGTACACATTTGGGCTGGGTCAAAATTATAAATGATAATTGTGAGGTTCACATTTTACGACCACAGGTCAGGGTCATTATGTCGAATACTACAAGTAGATCTGAATGAATCTGAGGGAACACAGTCCCCGTTCATCTCTCTTTTCTTCTAAACGTTTGCATGTCAGGCTTGTCAGCTTCCCACAGGCCCTACAGTAAGACTCTTAGTCGATCTGGTCTGCTGATGCTGGAGAGCTTGTCGTATTTTATTCAAACCATGGTAATGATGTGCTGCGATACCTCAGTCAGGTACATAACTGGGATGACTGAGGGCATTGTCATGTTTGAACAGGAATGGGTTTTACGTTGGACAGGGATGTCTCTATACTTTAAGCCATACAGTGTATCTGATTAACCACATTTAAGCAATATTGGGTTAGTTGTACTAGATTGGATTATATAAATCAGAGATAACTGTAATATCTTGAAAACGATTGACATTATGCCAACCCATACCTAAAACTTTACAGACCATGATGAAATGCATACATATCGCTCTTTTAAAATGGCATTCAATACTACTCTGAATAGTAATGACAAGAGTTTATCTAATTCATATTTAGCTCTGACTTGCATGATACTTTCCTTTCACAACCGGTTCTATTTCATGAAATACAATACATGGGTCACATCAGAACCTTCAGTTTCCTGCAGTGCTGGTTGTTCAGTTAGGAGCCCCGGAGAGGACAGAGTGAAAGGGGAGTGAGCAGGGAGACTTCCTGGACTTCAAATGTGAGGGTAGTGCCATCTGACTTTAAGGACATTTCTTTAAATTAGATACAATTTAACTAGACTTTGCTGAATTCTCCTTTTTTCTAGACATCTGAAAAAAGTTATTTATATCCAAAAACACTGACAACTTACATACAGCATACAAAAAAATCCTGTTCTGTTACCAGAGAAATGATTACAAAAAATACAGTGACTTTAACTTTTGCAGCAAATGATACACAACACAAAGTGACAGCATTATTACACAGTGACCAATAATAGGCAGCCTGTACAGTGCACATTGACAATATGTTACAGCAAGAGTCATTCATTCACATGTTCTGTTGGGGGTTCGGAGTCAGGCTCCATCGTCTGAACTGTTTGCATGTCTTCATTCACAGACTGCAGAAGCTTAAATAAGGAGAAATGACTCAGTAACTGAGTACATGAACATTTTGTACAAATTCCACATCTCTGATTCAGCAAAACAGAACATCAGGTTTGATTCACAAATACATTCCTTCTTCTGCTTCTTCACATTTTTGAGGCAGACCAAAAACACAGATGTAAAGTTGAAGGAGGATATCAGGGGCCAAACCCATTTTGATGAAAGAGTTGAAGTCATGTGGGATTAGCATTAGCAAGTGACCTCTAGCAGGACAACAACAGGATGTAAATGAGCGTCTGTTTCACAATAAAAACACATATGTCTTGCAAATGTGTGTTTAATAAGGATTGTGATGGTAAAGGAGGCTGATTGGTTTTCCTGAATACTTGCCCTTCATCATGTGGAGCTCAGTTTCAGTG